ACGAACGTCTCTGTTTTGTCCTCGAACGAAGATCGTACGAGAAGAAATTAATTTTTGTATCGGGACAAAACGTCTCTGCTTTGTTCTCAAACGAAGATTGTACGGGACGATCCCAGGTTCGTACCAGGATGAACGTCTCGGGTCAGTTCTCACTCATTTCATCCTGACGTTTCGTACAAATGAACTTTGAAATTTTTCCTGTTCGTACCGAACAAATTTGGTTTGTACCGGACGATGATAACGTACGAAATGAGTTCATACCGATTCACAACATGTACGTACGCAACTGTATTTGAATTGTTCGTATGTACGAACATACGATCGTACTATACAATCGTGTATGCTCGAAATTGAAAATTTCAGTTTTCTAGACGGTTTTTTTGTGTCTTTTGTATAAAGGGTCCATTAAAGACTGATGTTAAAAATCTTATCTTTGTGATTTTTCAAGGTAATTAAAAGAGGGAGTGTGAGAGAGTATTTGAGAGAGATTTCTTGCTAATGGAGTGTGAAGGGTTCACAAGGTTACTCAAAGGTAAGGATCTCTATGTGTGATTTATGTTTTTCACTCTTTCTCTTATCTTTCTATATTGCTCGTGAGAAGATCTTAATTTAAAGAAGATTCGGTTCTTTGCTGACACTTGGAGAGTGTGAACAACCGAAGGTTCTCTGCCTACACTTGGAGGGTGTAAAAGGACGAAGGTTCTCTGCCTACACTTGGAGGGTGTGAAAGGACGACTGTTCTCTGCCGACACTTAGAGAGTGTGAAAAGCCGAAGGTTCTCTGCCTACACTTAGAGGGTGTAAAAGGATGAAGGTTCTCTACTTACACTTAGAGGGTGTGAAAGGAAGATGGTTCTCTGCCGACATTTGAAGAGTTTGAACAGTCAAAGGTTCTCTGCCTACACTTGGAGGGTATAATAGAATGAAGGTTCTCTGCCTACACTTGGAGGGTGTGAAAGGATGATGGTTCTCTGCCGACACTTAGAGAGTGTGAAAGGATGACGGTTCTTAGCCGCACCGGGGAATGGTGGAAGAGAGTTTTATGAAGGCTTCTCCGCCTTGCTGTGGGGGCAAAAGGAGAGACACTTGTGGTAATAGTGCAATACCTGAAGAGGGAGTCTTCAGGGAGTGGATGTAGGTCGTGTTTGATCGAACCACTATAAATTATTGTGTCGTTTATTTTTTCGCTGCTTACTTATTGCAAGTTTTTTATTTCTGCGGTTGAAAAATTTTATTTTAAAACCTTAATTAACTTGCTTTTTCAATCAACCGGTTTAAATTTTTAAAATCCAAGAAGTAATTTTTAAAAGTACCAATTCACCCCCCTCTTGGTTAGCCTTGGGACATTAGTTTAGGTTTAACAGCCTAATCAAGATTTAAAAAGAATCAACAAAATTTATAATCCTATCCAGGTTAAGGCTACTGTTATCGAATGTACGGACATAACACCTAGGCATATTAAAAGTTCTTATGTATACAACAAGTGTTTTCTTAAATAGCATGATAGGGGTGTACAAAATGAATTTTCAGGTCTAGTTCGGTCAAACCTAAAATTGGCCTTCCTTAAACTGATTCAACCTGAATCCGACCTGATTAGACAATGGGGTCAGAAATTTAGACCCTGATCCAACCCACTGGGTTAACAAATTGATTAGACCCAACTTGTATCCTATAGGTGCAAGAGTTTGGCACAAGAGCATCAATCGTGTGAGAGGGTGAGAGTAGAGCACGTGGTTGCGGGTAAGTGCGGGCAAAAATGTGGTGCGGTGCAAGTGTACATAACTGTGTTGCACGAGCGGGCGAAGGTGGGGTGAGGGTACGAGCGTGTGCAAATGGGTGGGTGCGTGGGTGTGCGAGTGTGGGGTGAGGAGAACGGGACTTGAGCAAGGGACTAGAGCGAAGGCCTCTTCGCCTGCGCAGCTGCGCCACTGGGGAAACCTGCACGGGGGAGACTACAGACTGGCAAGGTCGGAGCAAACTTAAGTCAAATCCAGGTCGAATTCGAGCTAGTGGGTCAAAATTTGAAACACAAACCAAACCCGTTTGTTAAATGTGTTAATCTGAATCCAAATTTTTTGGGTCGGGTTATCAGGTTTGGCCAATGATTGACACCCTTAGAGCATGATATGTAATACAAGATATCTATTTTTAATTCAGAAATATTCTACATGAGCACTTGGGATTTTTATTACTAGGTAGCTTGATTTTATAGTTTATTCAAGCGACACAAAGATAGTAATTTTTAATTTAGAATTAGTCTGAGATATCCTTAATTTTATTATTACTATTTGTCCAAAATAATTTTAAACTATTTATCAATTTATTAAAATTAATAAAAATGATTAATTATAACCTAATAGCCTACCACAGAGGCTGTCTATAGTTGAAAGAAATACACATAAATATATAGATATATCATAAAGAAATTATAGGAATAAATAGAACAATGTGCTATGATAGCGATATTAGAATAAGGAATACAATATTGCAGTAAGGCAGTTTGCTTATACAAAACCTTAAATATATAAAAAGGGATTTTTGAGGTTTTAAATATATGCTCAAACATCTATATCTATACAAAAATAATTTTTTTAAGAAGGAATAAGCATCGGTGATCTCTCCAATCCAAGCCATTTTCACCTTTTTTAAGGTTTCGTTTGGGAAAACTTTTTTATTGCTTCTTAAAGTGGCTTTCTAACAAAACAATTAAAATTTTTGTAAGGGAAATTGTACATATTCTTCCAAGTGCTAGTGGAACACTCTTCTTGATAGAGATTAACATCATGAGGGCACTTGCGGTTGATAGTGCCATCAAATTTCCATTGATATCCCCCAATATGGTTACAAAAAGAATGCACCTTAGAGGTCTATAATTATGACCCCCAAACCCAAATAATCCTCAACTCACAATTATCATCCCCAAAAAACTCACCCTTTATGTATAGAAATCAAAATAGAGTATCGAGGGACTCATCTCAAGATTTAAAGGACTCACCAACATAGTTTCGTCTTGCATGATCTTTTTTGAAGAACTCACTTGACACACTCACTAATGAAGACTCATCAAGGGGATTCACTCTAGAACTAAGAGTTATATTAAAGATGTAGATCCACACAAAGCACCTACTAGCTCATACCTCATATCATGTATAGTTTATAATGGGTTGTTATTAATATTATACTTGTATTTATTTATTTATTTATTTTCCATTATGTGTATCATTTCTTGTAGCTCTCCAAGAAATAAGGGTTGAGGAGGTGCACTTTGGATCATTTTTTTCTCATGTATTCCAAATCTTTAGACATATGTAAGATCTTATGATATTTTTTTAGTATATTTTGCACTCTAGTTTCTTTTTCTCTCCATACTCAGCCAAGTCTCTTTAGGTTATCTAATTCTTACCTAAATGAACTAAAAAAAAAGGCAAAACCCTCTTATTTATGTGCAGATCAATTACTCTCTCAAGATGAGAATTTAAAGATAAAATGCGCATGAGTAATGGCATTTTGGATCCAAGTTTGTTCGTGGGTGATACCCAACCTTATTGCCAAGCGAGCTCTAGGGGTACCCTTAAGAATTGATGTGAGAATGGAGGGAAAAAGAGAAGAAAACTCCGCATGAAGTATCCACTAGCTCAAATATCTATGATATAAGTGTCGAAGGATGCAAAAAAAGATCCAAAATGTTTATATTCACCCTAAATTTATAGGGATATGAGGACTGCAATAAATGCTACATTAATAATAAATAAATAAAAATACACAAGATACATCATACTCTGATTGAGTTGATGGATGATGGCTCCTCTTAATCCTATCTCTCTGTATTGGGGCAAGTCCTATAGTGTTGATTGCCTGAGGGCGTAAATGAGGGCGCGATAGTCTGTTGGCAAGTGTTGAGCTAAGAGAGCTATAGCTGATTAACATCTCATTGCCATTGATGACCTATCGCGGAGCTCTAGATTGCCTAGGAGTAGGAGGCTAGTGCGTTTTGTTGTGACGATGACATGCTCCATGGTCAGTTGACAATGGTGGATAAGTTGGAACCCTCATGGATGGATGCTTTATTGTACTTGACATGACAAGTATAGATGGCAATGCACCATCACAGATAGTGGCAAGTAGCTATCCCTTGATGGATAACAAGTGATGAATTGAGTAAACCACATGGATCCTTCACAGTTCTTATGACGGGCATCTCCTCTCCAGGTGCCCTGTCGAGTTGGGTCTTATGACTCTTGGGCGAGTTCTCTTTTAGGCCCATGAGGTATGAGTCCATTTCCCATGATCCATCAAACTACTTATTGAATACCTAAAAAGATATATGTGAGTATACAAGACACTTTTATAAAAAAAAATAGCTCTTCAATTATCCCTAAACTAGACACATTAAACTTTATCTTATTTGTTTGCAAAGACTCAAACTACTCAGGCTACTTTGGACCATTTCATGCTCAAATTCAACCTATCAAACATCCTTGATTCAATGTGAGGTTGTGAATCTTGTTGGAGCAATCACATGTTCTAGATTATCATGGCATGGACTCTAACATATGAGTAAAATTAGCCCCTAGTTTGATTTTGCTAGATTACATGCTTATTTTAAGATTTATATTTCACCAAACATATGTTTTAATCGTAACAAAATAAATTATCATTTTTAATATTCTAATATGAATGAGTCCAAATCAAACTGAGCTTTACCCAAATTTTTTTTAAGGCATTGAGCAAATGCTTCATCAGACTCAATTCACATAGTGGGTCTTCTGTTAGGAAAATTATTAGGTCCGGACATTAGACGTAGTGTCCAATAAAATATTGACATGTGGAATGTGTACGTGTCCGTAAAATTTTAAGTCAAGTACGCCAAAATACAGCTAAAACACAGTCAAAAAGTACAGTCCATGCTACAAATTTTAGTTGAATATGGGGACCTATTTTTAGGTCCGGGATCATAATTTTCCCTTCAGTTAACGTCTTTACTTAATGCCCGCCAAAGAAAAAAAAAATAAAAATCGGGTCGTGCGGCGCAATGGGGCCGCTCAGGTCATCCTCGCAGCCCGCCATTAATAGAAACCCTAGACTCCTTTCCTCACCATTCCTCTCCTTTTTCCCCTTCACAATCTGAATACCCATGGACGCTCCTCCTTCCCAATCCTCTCGGAGCTGGAGCATATACGGCCGCACTGAGATCACTGAACATTATGAGATCCTCGATCGGATTGGCTCTGGAGCCTACTCCGATGTTTACCGCGGCCGCCGGCTCTCCGACGGGCTTCTCGTCGCTCTCAAGGAAATCCACGACTACCAGAGCTCCTTCCGCGAGATCGAGGCGCTCCAAATCCTCCGCCACGCTCCCAATGTGGTCGACCTCATCGAGTACTTCTGGCAAGAGGACGAAGATGCCGTACTCGTTCTCGAGTACCTTCATGCTGACCTCGCTGCGGTTATTCGTGATGGCAAGAAGGCCGGCGGATTGCCTGCTGGAGAGGTCAAGCAGTGGATGCTTCAAATCCTTACCGGCGTTGATGCCTGCCATCGGAATTCGGTGGTCCATCGCGATCTTAAGCCCTCGAATCTACTTATATCCGCTGATGGGGTTCTCAAGCTCGCGGATTTTGGCCAGGTAGCTTTTTCACCCGATTAGCTCTGATATTTGACTTAGGCTTAGTCTGGAACAGCTTTCTTACTGCTTTTCTAATCACAATTTTTATTTGGTGGATACTTTTTGGTTGCGTTAAAAGAGATTTTTATACCAGCATAAGAAAATTACTTTCTCTATTGAATCTTTACAAACATCTTTACAAAATGTTACAGCTATCCCAAATAGATCCTTAATCACAATTTGCAAATGAAATCAGAAGAAGTTTTGGTTATGCTTTAGGGGATATTTGGCTGCAAGCAAGATTCGCTAAATCCTTTAAATTTGGATTTATCAATTCCTGAGACTGTTAAATTTTGGAAACTGTTTGGCATGACATGGTAAATCCTATTAAATCTTGATAAATTGTTTGGTTACATACATGATTTATGGCGGTTAAAGATTTAAATATGAACATATAGAAATGAATTGCAGGTTGAGAATATCAATAAGCCATTAATTATAAAAATGAAGACAAATGCTAATTCTTAATAGAAAAATAATTTTAATGAATAAAATGGTGAAATGGGAAACTTCTTGTTCTTTTAATTAAGTAAATTTAAAATATTAAGTTCATGATCATAATTAAGGTCCTCTTATAATACAACTCATATTTATGCAATACTATAACACCATGATAAGTTAATAAACCAAAATTCAACCAAACAAACTGAACATATATATATATATATATAGATAAGAAACCAGTTGATTGAGGTTGATCTAGGTAGTAGACTTAGGTTTTCTTTCTGCATATTTTAGTTCTTTTCTTTCCTTATAATCACAATATATTTTAGTGCTAGACTATTATTGGTTGAATATCATGACTATATATATATATATATATATATATGTGTGTTTTTTTTCTCGTTTTGTTTCCGGCTAAAACAGTTTCAAAGGAATTCATTTTAAAAATTTGTCCTCTCAATTTTAATTAATTTTTTTCACCAGCCAAAATTTACTTAACTTACTTCATAAGCTTGCCATCATCTGGCCTAGCTTACCTTAAAGCTCAACCAAAAACTTATAGAAAGGAGTTTAATGGAAATGCCAAACTAACATAAATGGAAAAATGATACAATCTGTTCTTAAAAATCTGTAACAATCTTCTAACCTTCTTAGTGCCAAGAAACCCATTTATTCATTTCTATAAAAAATTTTCAAACAAAATAACCTTCCTCTTCTCTTTAACCTATCTATGCTCTTCCTAAACCTGTAGGCCTATCTAGGGCTTGCTTATTCCCCGTTTTAATTTTTCTTCTTCATTGCTTCTTCGGCTTCACGTCTAGTAGGCTTTGAAAGAGTCGCTAATGAAGTTTCTTCGCCAACTTCGATGATGTTGTTCCTATCAGATTGAAACTCAAAGTTCGAGCTTGTCGCAAAGCTCTTTGTAAATCCTTAAATCCCATTAAAAATAGTTGAACTACAGAATTTAGTAATTCCTAAATTTACAGGAAAAAATGGTACATCTTGGATTTACTATGGGTGAGGATTTATGACACCCATTTTTTTCCATTTGGCAGCATTTATGATAAATCATGCGTAAATCCTATTTCAGATTCGCTACCAAACAACCCCTTAGAATATAATGCTTACATATTTAAATTAATCGATTGGATAAAGTGAGGTGTTTATGGTCTTTAAAACATTTTTATAAGTGCCTTTTATTTATGTATATACTGTCAGGCCTTTTATGTTTATAATTACCTAAGTAAAGCTTTTTTAGTGTATATCAATGTCTATTTGATTCATTTCCATTTAAATCTTTCAATTCTTTGTGTCGGTTGATGATTGAAAGTTGTTAATGCAATCTGTCAAGGGCGGATGTGTGTGGGGTGGGCGGTGACCATCCCAACTTTTTTGGATTATATAATCTTGCATGATGTCTTTCAGATTTTTGTGAAGGTTCATGCAGCTTGTATGGCGCAAAAATATTGAGCATCTATTGTATGGAAGTAGTACAATAGTTATAATTGGCTTAGGGTACTGGCCCAATTTTTTTATTATATCATATTGTATCAAATCTTTCAATTTTTTCAAGGTTCATGAGCTTTGTGTGGTGGAAAAATAATTGAACATCCATGATATAGGAGCACAATAGTTACAATTGGTATAGGGGTATTTTCTTGTACTTGAGGAAGAACGAGGAGAGGAGAATGGCCGTTTGATTGCAAGTGATGGAGGTAGAGAGGTATTCTGTGGGGTAAGAAATGGGAAGGGCATAGGGGAGAAATAAAGAGACAGAGGTAGGGTAGGAGGCTGAACTTAGGAATGGTTACAAAGAGTAGCTAAATCCTCAAGGTAATAGGAGGGAAACATCCAAATCCTCATTGATTCATTGAAATGAATTCATAAAATCTTACTTTGCATTCCTGCTTCATCAAACCAAATGTTAAAATATTTAAGTTCTTTGCATTTGGAGTTCTTCCATTTCTTTTTCAGCGAACCAAACATCCCCTTAATGATTTAACTTCTCTCCTGTCCTCCTGCCATGACAATCGGTTGTTATGCTTCGCTCATCCTGTCATGGCCATTGGCTGCTTCTCCCATTAAGTTTTAAGGATTGGCTGCCTCTTCCTCGGTTCTATTGCTTACCTTTTATATCTCTCGCCTCTTTAATATACTCTTTGCACTTTCCAACCCATTGTATGGGTGATATCAAGTTTAGTTCAAGTGAGCAAACCGTAACTTGAAATCAAAGATCATGACTTGTAGTTATGTCAAGTTTGAGTCATGTTGAAAGTGACTGATTTTAAATTGAGTTTTGAGTTGTTTTGAGCCTTGTCCATTAATTTTAATAAAAAAAATTAATTACGAATTATGATTATTTATTAAATTATGTATATATATATATATATATAAAGGTTTAAATTTGCATAATTAAGCCTCGAGGCGGTTTTCGTCCGTGAGGCGAGGCGTAAGCCTCGAGGCGGTCTGAGGCGTAAGCCTCACGGACACAGAATTGCGT